GATAAGCTTTACCTGTGTGGTCCTCTCTCAGGGCTTGTCTGCACACAGTTTTCCTATACCTTTGAAGGAATAAAACCACATGTGTTGGCAGAGCTATGCAAGCAGATACAAGCTATGCTGATGTAACTGGTGCATCTGCAATCAAATACGTTAACTAGATCAGTTTCCATGCTGTTGTGGTCAAAATAGGAGCATATGTAATATAGGCCATATGAAGCACACATAGTATAGGCTAGACCACCAGGAAGTGGAGTGAAAAAGTAGTAAGAAGGCTGTTTTTGGGATGTGTTATTGCATCTCATAAGTTACTCTCTCCTGAACCACTGAGATCAGCCTGGTATTTGTTCATAAAAACAATTGCTCGGTTGTTTGGTATCGTTCTAGACACACTTTTCATGAGAGAAAAGTGCTTACATGTCATCATCCAGCTTTATCCTTAGTGGCTAGTTGACTCTGCTCTTAGGAGGGAATAGCACTGTACATGTGAATGGGGCCGCATTAAAATGAAAAAAATTCTTAAGGTGAAATGTTTTAAGTTTAAATTCATAGGTGGTGACTTATTTTTAGCTTGTATATGCCCAGAATCTGTAACTTGCATAATGCCAGGAATCTTAGTGGAAGGCTTGGAAATTTACCTTTAATTGTATTTCAGACTTTCCCTTGTTAGCAGTTCATTCAGTCTATAAGGTACAACTCTACCCTGCCTTCTGCCTGTTAACAGGTCATCAGGCAAAATCTTAGCTGAAGAATGGCAACATCTGAGGGGTGTACCATGGACTAGGAAAGCACTTTAAAGGACACTGCAGAAATATTGGGAATACACTGATGAAATTTGGGAACTGTATCAGCTTATTAGAGGTAGTTATGGAGGTAGAAACTGTTCATGGCAAAATGCCAGAAAAGTGTGGTCCTTGTGGTAGCTATATGTGGTGGTCTGTGTTTCATTTAGCTTCTTTCCTCCTTCCTGTTCACTTAAAAATGAACTAATTTCTGTTTTCTTCTGTTTAACAGACTAGAGACGACTTCCTTGGTCAAGTAGACGTCCCACTTAATCATCTTCCGGTAAGAAATGTCCAAGTCCTCATCCTCTCTGTGGTCTGTACCCCACGTGAGAAATTTCCATAAACATTATGCAGGTTGTCTCTATAAGTAGTTCAGTCTGATCTCCCATTATTACTGCAGCAGTATTGGTGGCTAATTGGAGACTCCCCTGGTTCTGCGCAATGACCCCACATACTGCTTGACCTTGTTGGAAGTAGAAAGAAGGTAATCTGAGATTCTCTCCCTTCTACCTCCAGAAAGTGCCTTTCTTTAAAAAAAAAAAAAAGTCCTTATTGCAGATATATGCCGTCATCCACTTCTGTTGCTTTTTCCTTAGGTCCACCGCTTCTACCCTGTGTTAAATGATGAATGCATTAGTAGCCCAAGCCCTGGTTATTCCTCTCCTTAACTATTGCTATGTCCTCTTTTCATCCTGTAACCCTCTTTCATGTTGGATGGTTTCCCTCTCTGAGCATGCTGTTTGTATGGCACTCCTAAGAGTAGTGCCAAGAAATGCATCTTAACCCCTTTGTCCTATTCTGCACAAGTCAGACTTTGAAACGTTAGATAGCAGAGGGCACCTTGAGGGTGCCTTCTGCTGCCATTCTCACACAGGCCGAAGACCACAATTTTCCGAATGACAGCAGGGCCCTTAAAGCACTTGTTTGAGGCATGCAGAACATAACTAGGCAGGAGAAGGTTATGCCTCAGCGATGTTTTCAGGAGTGCCATTGCAGCAGCATGGACATACACTGTGGGAGCCAAGCAAATTCTCTTTCCTCTAAACATCTCCTTACCACACACAGCTTTTGCTTTGCTTTCCATTGCTAACTACTTCAGCTCCTCCTTTTCTAGTGACGTATCTACCACTTTAGTTATGTGCGTAGTCAGTTGAAATAAGCTTGCATGCCATTTAGGGGAAGACAGTCCGTGTCCTATCTGGAAAGATGCCTTATCTGTTTTGGACACTGGTTCAGAGTCATAACTATAGCCTGGAATATGAACACCTGGAAGGGTTTAAGAATCTCCCGTTCATGTGTCTGGGTGTCTTATAGGACAAGGATATGTACATGCAAACAATTTACTGTGGGGTAAAATAGTTAGGGCTCTACGGGGCATCAAGAACCTCATGTACATACTTTATCCTATGGCAGATAAAAGTTAAACCAAAAGAGATTACTTCTGTCATTGAGAGTGAAACTACCACAATTTCACTTTTGTGTGTGGCATGAGGTAGTCGCATGCATGTGCGCATTTGACAGCTGGCAACTCTTTCTCCTTCTCATGATGTTGTTTGGACTTTTTGAACTGTCCACTGACAGGTTAAGCGGTAAGTGCAGCATCTGGGGCTACATCTGCTCTAGAAGGTTTCTCTCCCAGAGTTTTTTGACATTGAGCTGCCAATGCTGCTAGTTCTCTGGAGCTATGCATAGTTTGCAACTTTTTCTAGTCATATGTGTTCTCACTCAGACAGATGTGAGTAGAAAACCTGGTGCACCATAGAGAGAGAGAGACCTGCTCCTTAACAGCTGTTGGCATGGCTGTCATTAGAGCATGTCCACATTGTCATTTTGCTGTAGTTCAAGGAAAATCATGTGCCATTTGTGCGGATAGTTTTATTCATGTGACACAAAAGCTGGATTTTGCCTGCTAGTATCAACTTCATGTGTTGAACATAAATATATAGTGTCAAAAAGTGGCACTTGTTTTGGCAAAACTTTGCAGGCCTGGGTAAAGTTGCAGTTTGACAGATTTGCTTTCCTAACGCCACACAAAACTATAGTTTTTCAGGAACAAAGTAGTGTATCTTTTCCATTGGTTGTAGTTAAACCATTGGGGAGCTTATTACTGGTCAGAGCTGCAATTGAAAGATGATTCATTAAGAAATAATTGGCCCAGGATCATTCATAAGTCCTTGTAAAAAAAAATTGAGTTGTTGAACTGTTCAGTGGATGTTGAGATCCATTCATTTAATTGTCACTGGTCACCTGTGTACCAGTGACACCACTTTTTTGGAAAGTGAGTGAAATCCAATTCCAATTGTCTTGTAACTCAATTCTGTAAGACTCTAGTTGTCTCTTTCTTCTCAGTCTTCCAAAGGTTCAATACAATCTCAACATAGCAGGCCAAATTCCAGCCTAAATTAGTGTACGTACTTAAATTTACTGGACCTAAGCCAGAGCCACAACAGCTATCTGTTAGTGCCACTGCTGCCTGCCCAAGGGGGGCTTGCATGGCAGGGGAGGGGGTGTGCAGTGGGAGTGTGAAGGAGATCAGGTAGTGTGTATTGGGGGAGGGGGGAGGACATGGAGGAGACTGCATCAGAGCAGCTTCAATGTATGTGTATAGGTGTCTATAATGCCTGTGTGTGGGGAGGGGAGTGTGGAGGGCAGAGATTGCCTTATGGGAAGGGGGTGGGGGACACAGGAGATTGTGTTGGGAGGGGGGAATATAAGGGAGATTGTGCTGTGCAGGGAGGGGTATGGGGGAGACCACATAGTGTAGGTGAATGGCAGGGAGAAGTGCAGAGAAGACTGCATGGTGCAAGTGTGTGTATGGGGGGGAGGTGACTGAGCACAGGGCGGCAAGGAGACTGCACAGTGTGCAAGACTGGGAGAGATGGGGGTGGGCAGTGTGGGGAACATCGTGGCATGCAATGTGGGAAAAGTGCAGGGGACTGCATAGCAGCAGGGGAGCTGTTGCGGCTCCAGCTCCAGCTCCAGCTGTGACCTGGGCCTAGGACCAGAACTGATGCCACTGCTTCCTGGCTGGGGCCAGGACCACTGTGGCAAGAGCAGCCGCATTGGTAAGCAGTGGCAAGGAAGAGGGGTAACAGCAAAGGGGGCAAGTGGTAGGGGACCAAGGAGCAGTAAGGGGTGTAGGGTTAGGCCAACATATATAATGCTTTCCTCCTGTAGAATCTAATTACCGGGGGGTCATTTTAAATTCAAAGTCATCTTGGATTCGGGCAGATATGGTAAATATAATCCCCACTGAACTGTATAAGCAAAGATGGAGACTCTCCCCTTGAATTCTAGTGGTATATTTTTGCTGTACATGCGGATATAGTGCCAGTGCAATACAAAACTCCACATTCAGGTTTTATAGCTTCTGCCTTCTGGCTGACCTATATTGCATCCCTCTGGAAAGCTGCAGACTTGAATTTGTTCAAAGCTCAGGAATCCATAAGTAGAGTCCTAGGTATAATCTTAGTCCTGTGGAAAAACTTGAACTGATTCCAATATGGTCTAGGATTTAACTCTCAGTGCTTTAAAGGCACTCAAAGTTATTCCTTAGAAAAACTAAGTGAGCAGGTGCCAGAGTTTCAGCATTGTTCAACTTTTTACAGTTGTATCAGTGAGGAGGGTGGAACAGCTGGATCCTTTGTTTAAAGATGGCTAGTTTGATAGTTTACTGTTTATGAACAAGCCTTAAATGGTGGTTACAGACTGAGACAGATTTCTTACATATTGGGCACATCTACAAGTGCAATTAGTGTGCCTGAATAAGCTCTGGCAAAGTTTGTGCTGGAGTCGGCTTCTCCCAGGTGAAGCGTCTTCACGTGCACTGGGGACTGCAGCAGTTACAACTGGGGTAGAGCAGTCCTGGGCTGGCAGGAGGCACAAGGGGTCAGCCCCGGGTTCCAGGTACTGGCACTGGGTGGCGGAGGGGCTGGATGGGACATGAGGGTGCTACAGTTTGACGCTGGGCAGCAGGCAGCAGCAGCCCCCTCACTTTTGCACCCTCATTCCCCACCCAACCCTGTTCGTCTACATGAGTGTTTCAGTGCAGTTAATTATTCCACCATAAGATAGTACTGCTCCCCATTTTATGGTAGAGTTAATTAATCTTCTGCACTGTAACACTGGCGTTCATGTAGACAGTGACGCTTTTACCGCAGAGCTAATTAGTCAATTCTGCAGTAAAGTGCAGATGTAGATGCGCCCATTATTTGCTTTTTTGTGCTCTGCATGTTCTGCCTCCCACTCTGTGCCAGTGTTGAATTGACTAGCTAAATGTTCAAATGGGAAAGCTCCAGGACACAGAAAGTTTAAACACCACTAATATTATTTTCTGCATATTTAAATATTTACACTTTTTTTTTCGTTTATTGGCAGGCTTTCTATCAACTAGTTTTGTAAATAAAGCAAAGAAGCTATGTTATTTTATAACTTGGCAGAGATTTGTTTTCAAGCTTGACATTGTTTAAATATATTTTATTATACTGAATGCTGCTTATCTTAGCCTCTTGTTGTCTGATGAGGGTTTTCTCTGGCTAAGTGTATGAGCATACTAACAGTAGATGCAAGTGGGAAATACTTATACCAGTATAAAAATGTCTTTATTATAGGGGATATTATTTTTATTTGGACAAAGGTGACTTCTTAATTCCTACGGGCTCTGTAGCTACTTTTCATGCTGTATTTGGTTGTGTACTTGTGTTATATGGGAGCTATTTATGACTTTTTTAAAAGAAAAAGTCACCCTGAGCCAGAATGCTGTTATAGACTTCTTGCAAATTACAGTAGTGTAAAGAGTCTGATGTGCCTTATGTTGCTAGGAAGAAAATAAATTCTAATGAGGTAAGAGTGATTTACACCCTCCGATATATGCACTGTAATGTGTGGGAGTATGTTATTCTTCATATTACAAACATGTGATAAACCCTGCTGCTATAATAGAACATTAAGCCACATAAGATGTTGCAGTGCACATATGGTTTGATGAATCAGGTATATTCAAATACCCTTTTTTTAGTCAACATTACTTTTTCAAAATTAAATAATGAGTAGGAGCCGAAATAGAAGTATAACTATGCCACACATTGTGTAAGTTAGTTTGAGGCATTAGGTGCTCCCTGTTTTCCCCCTTATTAAGTACAATGATGACTGTTCTTTTCCTCTCACTTGTTTTATTGGAAGCATAATCAGGCATTTGTTTTTTTAGCCAAGATCTAGTAATCAAAGTATTCTCCCAAAGCATCCCAAATTCCTTGATTGCCTCTGCATACATAGAATCTAAAGACTTGTTGATTTGCTCATTTACCCTGAGGTTGTAGTTGTGAATGCCCTTCTAGTAAATTTGCAGAAATTCTGCCATCTAACCCCCCCATCTCCTTTTGCTGAGGCTCACTAGACAATATAAATGCTCCATACTTCAAATCTGTTCACTAATCCAGTGTACTTCAGGAATCAACCCTTGGCCAGCTTCTGTCCAAAAATTTAGTGGAAAAGCTTCTGACAGATACTTTAGCACTTGCACCCCTGGTTTTCTAGGATGACGTGACAATGTCTCTACTTGATGTTTTCCTGTGTGTAAGATTCCAGACTGCATCACACTCAGTTATTGACATGAAATGCAATAAGATAACGGTATTAATTTGATGCTCTGGTTAACATTATAGTGATTTTTTTTTTTTTGACCAGTAAAACTGAAAACAAAATCCTTTTTTCATTAAGTCTCTCTGTATGATACTGAGAAGTATAGTAATATAGCTGTGAAATATTCTTTGCTTTAGTTCTCCTTTAGGCCATGCAGTTGGTCTCTTATTCTTCTCTGTACTTCAGTTTTATCATCTGAAAATGGGATTAACTAAACACCCAGGAGAATTACTTGCTTACCTTCTATATAGCACTCAGAGAAGATAAAGTGTATTTTATAAGTAATAAATCTCAACCTATACAAATTTTACACTCTTGTCCACCAAAAACTACCGCTTCTCAGGAAGAAGGAAGCCATGAACTCACAAAAATAAAGTGCAAAAAAGGAATTAAGGAAATGGCCATGGGGGAATGCAGAACTTTTTCACAATAGAAAACATGGGAAGGCATCACAGTTCTTAGAAATGCAAGAGAAGTGGTTTTATTCTGAAACACAAATGTACAATAAGACTTCAGTTTGCAGTGCTTCAGGAGACAGGATGCCTAATGCTTGTGTTCATGTTAGAAGTCAGTGTTCTTAGGGAGTGATTTCCAGCTTTACCCCCAGTGGTAATGTTAGCTGAGCCAACATTTTCAGATGTGTCCACTTATTTGGTGAGACTGGAGACATTAATATGAAATACCTGTGACCTGGTTTAAGAGATACTGAGCAACTGCTCCACATTTTTATGGTTGCTTGTCATATCAGAAAATAAGATCTGCTTTACCTCGCTGTGAGCATTATTCACAGTTCCACTGTGTACTTTCACTATTGCCAGCCCCATCGAACATCTTCAGTCAGGTGCCAAAATGAAACAATGAAGTAATATAAATTGGATCAGCAATCATTGTGATCACATACATAAATATTTACAAATCCAAGAAAGAAGGGAGCGGGGAAAAACTAAAACAGTTTTCTAAAATTTTTACTTGCCTAACATCAAAAATATATATTCATAGCTTGCTTCATTGTTTATTTTTTCATATGTATATAAATTCTTTGTTTCTTTTATTTACATTCTGGTCCTTGGGGCTTTATGGTTCATGTTGCCAGGCCTCTCCACAAAAGTGAAGGCTAGAAATGTATTTTTGTAAATGAGACACTTACGATGTGTAAAAGACCTCATTACCTAGAGCAAGACCTCAGATATCACAAAGCTCATGTGATGAATAATTTTACTCATCTATCTCGCATGGTGTTGGAAGTCTTATCTAAAGTGCTTTGAATCCTAAAACGGGAGTTAATTTTATAAATTAGTAGTATTTATCTTTTTCTAGGAGGCACAGATTATATACTTTTCGATATTGATGGTCTTGGGTCCAACTGGACCCAGTGTACTGCACTGATATTTTAGAGAGTCATTTTGGTCATTTTTTCTCCTCCTCCCTTCTTTGATATGTAAGTATTTCTGCATGTAAGACTGCTGGTCCAGCTTACATGCTCACTTCCGCAGCACATATAGTAAAATTGGTTTTGATAGTGACATCTAGTGGACATGCTATGCAGTAATAAAGTACCAACATGCACTTACTGGCAAAGATTAGCGTGCCTCAGTGCGTTCACAGATTTTGCTAATACGCTTTTTTGCTGGATGTGGTGTATATGATATACATATTCTTGAGCCTCAACATTTTAATTTGTCATTTCTCATTATAGACAGAAGACCCAACCATGGAACGGCCATACACGTTTAAGGATTTTCTTCTCAGACCAAGAAGGTGAGGGAGGACCTTTGTATTTAAGAAAATTTATGGGATTTAACATATTTTGGTTTTAAAAAGAATATTTCATATTCTTCTTAGTTACTGTTGGTTTTGTTCTTCAGCCACAAATCTCGGGTAAAGGGTTTCTTGAGATTGAAGATGGCCTATATGCCGAAAAATGGAGGACAAGAGGATGAAAATAATGATCAAAGGGATGACTCTGAGGTAGAGTACCTGATTCAAGACTTCATTAATTTCTCTGTAAAGATTAATATGTAACTGGAGAAGAGAGTGCTACAGTTATTTTGCTTTAAAAAGAAACAACTGTATGTACATTTGAATGTCATCTCACGGCATTGCCATTATACACCAAACAGAGGAAAAGCAAGTGACAATTTTTGCATAGAAATTGGCCACAACAAATTAATGCTGTTGTAGCAGGCTGTTTGGCAGAGGCTCACACCAGGCTGCACAAGTCCAGCTGTTGCTGTTTGCAGGGGCTACATCCCAGATGGAGGCAGTAAGGCACTGATTGCAGGCTGCCTAGGATGACTATAGCAGGCTGCTGGCTTGCAGGGACTGCACCACAGCTCCAGGTAGTAAGGCTTAATTACAGGCCTGTCCAGAGGACTGGCCCAGGTGCAACAGATAATTGGATGACTGAAGGAAGTTAAAAGGCTCCCAGGGAAAGGATTCAGGAAGGAGACCTGAGAGAGGAGAGTTAGGCTCCTGGGGAGAGGAGCCAGAGTGCAGAGTTAGGTGCCTGAGGAAAGGTGCCAAAGAACAGAGACAGAGGTCTGAGATATAAGAGAGAGAGGAGCTGCAAGCTGAGAACTGGTTGGAGAGTGAGGAACTGAAAGAGAGCGAGGGAGTTAGTCCTTGGGAGAAGATCCAGGGCTGCAAGGTGGAAAGGAGCAGCACCATGTCAGGGAACTGAGTCAAAGACAACCAAAGAAAGAAGACAGCAGTGTGAGAGGGCAGCAGGAAGCCAGAGGCACCTGTCAGGGGCTGGAGAAGACTTGGGACTCTGAGTGCACCCTGGATGCACTATGTTAAGGTTGTGTTACTGAGTTTTGATAGACATTTGTGGCATACATTTGAGGCCACTGGTCCTGCAAATAAGGGACTATATCGTGTTTAAAGAATGAGCTAAGCAAGTCCCCACTCACTACAGTTGTATGCTTTTGTCTTAGTCTCTGCTGCCAGTTTCATGAGTCAGTGCTAGGCAGGGCCATTACTGTACAACTGTTTTGCTTCTATCAACTCCCCTGCTCTCCCCCCTCCATTAAAGCCCTTTTATTTAAAAGTGCTACTAAATTATAGGCTTTTAATCTCATCCGACAAATGAAGCCTGTCTCTGCTGACTAGACTCCTACAATTTTTCTGCTTGTAGGACTCAGGGCAGGTTGTCCTGTAACATCATGAATTATCAGCACTGCATTTTTTATCAGTGCCATATTGCTTTTGCTAGGTCTTCCATGCCTTGTTCCTGTGAGCTAGTCTATTTAATTTTTGGATTTCTTCTCCTCATCAAAAGAAAATATTCTCCAGTGCTATGTTTTTATATCCATATATGGCATGTGTTTTTATTGTTTGTATCGTTTTATAGGATCATATGAAAGTAGGCCTGGAATAGACCTCACAAGGTCATCTAGTCCAGCTCCCTGCCCAAGTCAGGATCGGTCCCAACTAAACCATCCCAGCCAAGTGTCTGTGTTATCTGCTCTTGAAAATTTCCAGGGGAGGAGATTTCACAGTTTCTTTAGGTAGCCTGTTCCAATGCTGGACCGCCTTCATAGTCCAAGAGCCGTTCCAATTAAAGCACCTGGAATGTCTCATGTATCAGTGTTCCTGCTCTTCAAAATGGTGGCAGGGGGGCTTTATCTAAAGCTTGTGCAACCAGATTTAGATAAAGTGCCCCTGCTGCCATTTTGAAGCATAGGGACTCTGATACACGAGATGTGGGTGGCTGCTGGAGCGCAGTAATTGCCATTGGAATTTATTATTATTATTATTATTATATGGCTTACTGGAATTACAGTATGTCAGAGCAGCCTCCCTGCTCATGTATAGGCACATTAAAATTCCTCCTAAGCTCCAACCTAAATTTCCTGTGCTATAACTTGTGGTCATTGCTTCTAGTCCTGTTTCCCTATAGCCACAGAGAAAAAGCCATCTCCATCCTCCTGGGAATAGCTCTTCAGGTATTTGAAGACTGGTACTTCTCTTCTCCAAACTAAATAACCGTAGTCCTTTCAGCCGTTCCTCCGTAAGTCGTGCTTCCTAGACTTCTAATCATTTTTGTTGCTCTCTGATAGACTCTTTCCAGTCTCTCCCCATCTTTCTTGAAGTGTGGGGCCCAAAACTGGACCAGTACTCCTGATGAGGCATCACCAGTGCTAAATATAGCAGAAGAATCACTTCTTCTGATTTGCAAGTGACACACTTATTTCAATATAGTATTAACCCTCCTATTACATATAAGTTTTCAAATTAACTTACTGTGTTACCTTTGTATTTATTCCTTCATTCCTTCTTCATATTATGGATATGATTCTTCTGCTTATTAACATTTATAAGGTATTATTAGGGTTGTTATGTATTGCTTAAGTTGTGCATAAGGAACCCATTGAGCAGTGGACTCTAATAATCAATGTAGCATTGACTAAAGCATACACTAGTAATACTTTATAAATACTTTATATATTAATCTTAACATCACCCTCCTTTCAGTTCCTTGCTGGTAGATCTTCTTTCCAGATTACTGCTTCACATTCGTCCCATCCTACTACCTCACTCAGTTTTCTATTCTTCACTCTCATGTTTTCTCACTTTAAAAAAACCTTTTTCTCTATCATGTGCTTTTATCCCTTCCCTATTGCTCTGCTGTTACTTCTTTGAGGCTGGCTGTCACTAAATACACACTCAAAAAAAAATTCTGTTCAGTATGTAATTGCAGTAAAGAAGAGTAGTGAGATGTCAGGATATAAAAGTAGTTGTTTGGAGAATAGCATTGACAACATGTAATGCCTTTATACCTATTCTGTAAATCAGTGCTGTGACCTTACCTAAAATGCTTTGCTTAATACTGGTCACCCATCTAAAAAATTATATTGCAATGCCTAAAAGCCTCCAATATGAAGATTGGAAAGTTTAGGATGATTTATTTTAGAATGGTGATGAGTAAAATGGGAATAAAAAAGTAACTAAAATGATGGGCACAGAGAAGTTAGAACAAGAACATCAGTTTTCCGTATTTCGTATTTCAAGAACAAGGGAACAGGTGAGAGAAATTCATCGCATATGACACAGAAATATTTTTGTACAACATGCAACTAAAATTATTGACATGAAGCTTAACAATGTTCAGAAAGATGCAGTTGTGCAGATATCATGATCCATATTTATATGGATATTCAGAATATCTAGTACCGTGACCAATGACAGGTATTTTGGAAAGGATGTTTAACACCCTGCTTCAGGTATTAAAGGAATCTTTGACCATCACAAATAAGGATAAGAATTATTTGGGGTTAAATTATTCTTTGCATGCCTTCTGTAGGTATTCTTGCCCCTTCCTATGAAGTTTCAGATTCTGATCACTCCTTGAGATAGGACTGGATCTGCTGCTAATCCAGTGCAATGTTTCAGGTTGAGTCTCTTTTTTTTCTGTTTTAGACCTAATCTCTTCCATAGTCTAGTACACGGGATGTCTTTGTTCCCTTCTTTGACATGCACATGTTCTTTCTTATGTGAACATTTGTCTCCTTTCCTGAGGTCATCCACATTTTGTAGGAGAGGAGAAAGTCTGTTTTATATTTTTTTTTTCTACTCAGACCAGAAGCAAAGGATTTTCTTTTCTTTTATTAAGTAGTGGGGAATTTTTCTTTCCATTTTCCCTGGGTACCAGGGGAAAATGCGTCTTTCCTATTTCTTGGGCTACATGAAGGATGGGCTTAATACTTCAGTCATGCAGTTTATAGCCTGTTCACTTCTTCTCGTTCCTCTTCACTTTACCTCATTCCTTCTCCTCCCCATTGTCTGTCTTAACACATTTTGGGCTGCAGGAGGGAGAGGGACATTTGAATAGGCTTGCAGTTCCTGCCGGCCTGTTCTGGTCTTGTCTGTTTCTGCCTTCATAGGAACAGCTAGCTACTCAGGCTAGCGAGAGGGATATCTAATGGTAGTGGTTGATAATGCTTAGTTTTTGGTAACAAGTTAAATCTCCCACTTAATTCTTACAAATATTAACTGCTGCTTTTTGTATTCTCCAAAAATGTCAGCTGTTGGAAGTAATCCTGAATTTACTCAGTTAATTCTATTATGGGTTTTTATTTTCATTCATTCTTGAAAACTTTCCAGTCCTTGAAATGTAGTGGATAGAAACATTCAAAAAAAATCTATCCAAGCTTTTTGCATTTGCCATAGGTACAGCAGACTGTGTTAGATAAAGCTTGCTTCTAGAAGGATCATTTTGAACTGACTGTTGTGATGCATTTTCCATTATTTTCTTGGCTGGGCTGACTCTTCAGAATATAAAGCTCATTGAGTCACAGCATTTGCCTTGTCCTGTGCAGTAAATGTATGAAATATTCTCCAATCATTTTTTCAAATCCTAATTATGAGTAGTATGTACAGTGGATGCCAGTTGCAGTCCAACTGTTGCTTTACCATAAGGTTGGTCTGTAGCAGTCAAATGTCCGTATGGCAAGAACAAAATTGTATTACTGTAAGAGCTGTGTTCATTCCCAGAGAAAATGTGATGTTATTTCTTAAATAGGTGCACATAGAAAAAAATAATACATTCTGCTGCATCTCTTGGAAATATGCATTGCTACTTTTAAAAAATGTATTTTTTTTTTCAAGGAGCAGAGTTCAAATAGCATAATGTTGAATTTACAATAACTGTATTATACAGCTGTGATAAACAGTGACTTAACCTAAAATATACCTCCTAAATGAAGACTTCATTTAGCCAATTTATCTCAAGTAATTATTAACTCAAACTAGAAAATGTAGGCAGACCTCAAATAATATATGACTATGCCAGCAATAATTGTATGGTTAAAGAATTACTAACAAGGCAAAGAAAATATATTTGGAAAACAAGTTTTGGCTCGCTATTGTACAGCCACTGTAAAAATGGTTACCATCTTACTCAAAAGATTGACTCTGTGTTTTGTGTATTCAGAGTTGTTGACTTTGTGTCATTTTTATGACTTTTGGTGAACTGGATTGCTTTCTAGCTCACATGAAGTCCTAATCTTTTGAGACTCTGAACATTACCTGCTTGAATATCAACTACTCCAACTAAAGTCAGTAGGAGTGAACTGGTAGTAAACCTCAGTTAAACAAAGCACTTGCTTTGCTGGGGAGAAACTAGAATAAGTTTGAAGACCAGAAGGTGAAGGAAGATTTTGCAGGTAGAATGAGGGGGTGGGGGTTGGTTTGCAGAATGTTTCACAAATAATGATACATAAATCGGAGAACCCAAATTGGCATACTGGTTTCAGACTGCGAATCAAGCAAATGAGGGGAAAAAACAATTTTGTAATGGCTAATATAAAGTTGACCTAGACATACTTATGGGGGGAAACAACATGGAAGCTAACTGCTCTGGCTTTCGTAATTTTGTAAGATAAACCTATTCTTTAACAACAATATTTTTTAAAAATAGAATGATAGGATTTTAGATTTATTTGAAATTGAAGACAGCATGGCTCTGCACAGATTCAGGGCTTGATGCAGTTTTGATTGCAAGCTTGAGGCTTAAGACAAGTGTTTTTACTGAGGGCTGGGAAAAGGATGAAGAATATAATATTTGTAAATAAATGAATACATACATAGATGTAGGTGTCCTAACTTCTTCTGTACTTAGATAATTAATTGGCTAATTTCTGTAGAGACATGAACATAAAACTCAGTGACCATTAACATTATACAGAGTGCTAAGCATAACTCCTAGTCAGTGGTAGCTGAAATAAATTACACCATTTGAAAAGGTCATATTGATTTATTCAATGTTTTCCAAAGAGATGAGGCATATTGTGTAACAGTGAGACTAGTTCCCTTTTCAGCACAGCTTTTATAGTTAAATAGTCTTTCATTCTTATCCATCACTTTTTTAAAAATCAGTTAACGTAGCCCAAAAATCCTATAGCAATTTAACATTTTGTTGTTGTTAAACTTTGTAATCAGTATTTATTGTTACTTCTAGCATGGATGGGAAGTGGTTGATTCCAATGACTCTGCATCTCATCGCCAAGAAGAGTTACCACCACCTCCACTGCCTCCTGGATGGGAGGAAAAGGTGGACAATCTTGGTCGTACTTACTATGTCAACCACAACAACAGGACAACTCAGTGGCACCGGCCAACTTTAATGTAAGTGTTAAAGAAGTGCAATAAATTTCTTGGGCAAAGTAATATTTTAAGTACGGATATTCATTCTTTCAAACACAAAATTATTATTTTGAATATCACAAAAAATACTCATCTGCAAAAATTTTCACTCAGGAGAGCTGAAGACCTTTCAAGGAAAGAAAAGGAAACATACTGTTGCATAGTTCTTTACCATAACAGATGGGTTACAAGTTTAATGTGAACTTTGATATATATCTGGGGGTATTCTCTTGACTGTTACATTTAAGGCTAGGGACAGACATTCAAAAAGCTGGAGCCTGAATTGATTCAGTCTTTACAGGTTAGTCTAACCTGCTTAGATTGAACCAATCTGCAAGTGAATAGACATTCAGGAAATGTAGGCACATGCCTGCAGTTGCTCAGGCCAGAAGCTTGGGGAGGGGTGCTAGAGTAGTCCTCAGCTGCAGGGAAGCTACAGTAGGAGGCATGGGCAGCCCTGACAGTAGTAGCCTCAAGTGAACTGGCCAGGGAGGAGGGTTTAATTCCCCCATCCCTGTCCTACTGGCATGGACCTGAGCCAGGGTCCACCTGGCACTCCCTCCTCACCACTACAGCTGCAGGGGAAGGTAAATGTCCATTCACCAGCCATCATGGCCCGCTGAGGCAGAGTGGAAAAGGAGGGGGTTTATTCCCCCCTCCAATCTTCTCTGTCCTTGGGGGACCACAGCCAGGGTCTGCCAGCCACGATGCCACTGATCGCTCCCTGCGTGAGGCAAGTGGCAACATAAGCTTCCATCCTGCCCCCTCTGCCAGATGGCGGAGGGAGGAGGGAAATGCTGGAGTGGTGAGCAGGGAGCGACCCTGATGGGGCAGCAGCCCCTCTCATGGTTTCCTGAGAGTTCAAGCCTTTTCCTGGGGGGCGGGGACCTGAGCTGGGGGCAGGGCAGAGTCGGGCAGGAAGAGGTGCTGCAAACTGCACGGGGCAAGCATGGCACCAGGCCCATGGCCTCCCAAGACCTCCCTAGCACTGACACTGCAGTTTGTGGCAGCTCTGCCTGCCCTGCAGTGCAGCCTGCCACTAGGAAGAGGCTTGAACTCCTGGGAAAACCATGAAGGAGGCTGCTGCCCCTATCAAGGTCCCTGCCCCCTCACTGCTCCAACAGCAGGGGTGCGGGCATGGCCACAGGCTGGCCAGCATGGCCCCCTTGAGCAAGGGGGAAAAAGGGGGTGTTATTTCCCCCCCTCCATCCAGCTTGTGGCAGAGGGGGTAGGCAGGGAGTGATTGTCGGGGCAGGCAGACCCCTGCTGCTGTCCCTTGGGAATAAAGGGGAGAATAAACCCTCTTCCTGCCCCCTCTGCCTCAGGGGGCCATGCTGGCCGGCGTCTGGCTGTGCTCCCGATCCTGCTGCTGCAGCAGCGAGGGGAGAGCACTAGGCAAGCCCCGGCCCAGGTCTATGTCAGTGGGTCAGGAGGGGGGAATTAAACCTCCCCCTGGCCAGTTCACTTGAGGCTACTGCCAGAACTTGCCATGCCCTTGCCACTGGAGGAGCAAGTGGAGAAATGCCTGTCAGACTTTGCTGGGGTCTGTGGTGGTGGGACTGGGGAGGGAAAGGTGAATAAACCTCTTCCCTACCCCCTTTTCCTTAGTGGGGACTGGCATCTGGCCACACCTCTGCCCTTGCCCACCCATGCTTCAGCTAGGGAGCAGAGGGACTGGGACAGCTTTGCTCTCTGGAGCTGAGAACACAGCCCAGCCCAGGGCTGCAGAGCATGCTGGGATGCTGGGGGACTCTGGTTTAAGTTAAACCAGGAAGGGGTCTGGGACAAAAGTTACATAAACCGATATGAGCTCTATCAGTTAAGTCTGATACTACATTCAACCAGGTGTATCTTAAACTAGTTTTGGCCATTTTGAAACTGGTTTATGTGACCTGAACCTATGTTCTGTTACAGCTTTAAACAAGTTTCTGATTACTTAAACCGGTTTATCTGTAACATCAGTCCCTTGCCTAAAAGGTTATTTCTCTCAAACCATTCCAGTTGAGAATTAGAGACCATGGTCCTTCACTTAGTGTCCCAGGTATTCAGCAAGGTTGTCTCCTAATGGTGTGTTTATCACAAATACAGAGTGCCTGCAAAGGAATATGCCTCCAGGGGTCCCTAAGGACAGCTGAGTGCACAGGAGAGTGTTCATTGGCTGTTTCCAGTAGAGCACTATGGGATGCTGGAGAACTGTGGGGTGCTGAAGGACTGAAAAACTCCCGTCATGCTCTGCTGGAGCATAGAGATATTCAAAAGGAAGTGCTTCAAAGCTGATCGCATGTTTTGAGGATCATGTCTGAAGCCATTTTTAAAGCACTTTTATGTCTGTGTGGCAGTTAACTGAAATCGAACAGCGGATAATTGGCAATGTGTTTAAGATATTTTGCACTGAAGGAGGTTTGCACTGAATCTTCAAAGTGTTCTGTTGTAAAAGGCAAGGAAAATCTATAGAAAGCTTATTACATTTAAATTAAGATAAATCTAATGAGCTTTCCAAGGAAATCCTGATATAGGTGTACAAACTGTAATTTATGTAATCTTCTTACGCTGCTCTCAGAATTGTTTAATTTTTTAAAATTCTACGTTATTCATGATTACCCTTCTAAAAATATGATAAGCTTAAAGGCTATATATGATTGAGTCGGGAAGGATGAGCACAGAAATCAGACGTTAGTCAACCATCTAGATTTATTTTGCTTTTTCACATGCAACTATTCATCTTCAGTGAGCTGTTATTACAGTAATGTCCCTTGTTCTTGCTTGAGTGTTTATATCCATCACCATAATTTATATTATGCCCACTGGGTTGTCTTAAGAGCCTTCTGCCTTACTTGATTTGTTTGTTTGTTGTATTCAGAATTCTAGTGACTAAAATATGCAAGCATTAACTTGAGCCCTTATTATGTATTTATTAAAAATAATAGTTCTACTAATGCTTAATACAATATTTTACCACTTACTTTGTAAGATTTGCTTCATTTTTCAAAAACAAACTGATACAATGAAGTTTGGGATACTGTATTTTGAATGATGGATCTCTACTAGGTTGGCATGTAATTATGGTCATGCCAAGCAAACCATTCTTCAATGAGATTCCAGGTTTGATTGATCAAGGTAATTGCATCCCTGTAATAGACTAGGCTCTAAACCTAGGTATATCTCTAGTATTTCTTTGGCTCTTTGGTCTGCTTTCAGGCATCTTAACCACAAAGATTTTATTCCTTTGTGCTCAGGAGGCAAAAACTGACTAAGACATCTAGATTCCTTATGCACATCAATTTTGACCTAATAAGATCCCCAGACAATTGGAGTTGAGCTTCTGCACATGCTTGGAAGTGACCCAGAATGGCTACTTAGAAGCCTACCTCCACCTGGGCTCTGATTCATCTGGGAAACAAATAAACAGTACAGAAATCCCCCAGTGCATTAGATGGAGAAGAGCCATGCTAACTGAGCCATGGTTTAAAGTTAAGACTGTACGTGCAGCTCGTTGTTGTTTGTAGAGAAGGAGAACGAGGAGGAGGGCCCATTCCTCTTTTGCCCGTTAGCATACGGGTTAGGGCACTTGCTCAGGAATAAGGGAGCTGAGTTCTAGGCACCATGTAGTTAGAGGGGACTTTAGTTCACATCTCCTACTTCTCAGGGAAGTACCTAACCCCCAATCTATGAACAAGGATTGAAGCCACTAGGCCGCTAAAAGTGAAGTAGTCATCAGGCCAGAAGGAAAGGCAGCAAGAACAAGCTTGACTGAGGCCCAGTAAGGGAGGGCATTCCCTTGAGGGAGAGGAAGGGAACTCTGGATTCAGTGCCTTGCTCCAGCATTGTTCATTAATTTAGGAACGTGTGCTCCGATTTGCTAGAAGGAGAAGTATCTTCTCATGCTCCTCGTTCAGATACTGCAATTGGTCAAAGAGAAAATATGAGGACAGTTATACCATGGTCTGTGTGTGTAGTATGTAGCCTGTGGGTTGCCTTTGGCACTTGAGGCTTTAAACTGTACCCTTCAAAGCCTTGTTCTTAACCTAAATCCCTTTTAAAGGCTGCAGCTCAAACTTCAAAGGCTGTATTGGCCCTCCCTCGTCTGCCCACCCAACATCTTCCCTGAACCAGGGGCTGTAGCAGAGAGATGGGGCCTGGGCTGCATAGCTAACAGGGATTTCCCTCAGGTCAGGGAGATCCCCAGTAGGAATATTAAGGTGGTTTCCTCTCATTCACCTGCAAATTACCTGTTAGGGATATCCCCAGCTGGCACAGAAGCACACTAGCTTGTGCAAATCCTCCTCCTCTTTGCAGTATCTTGTTCAGGGCACTTTTTTGGGGGGGAGGAGGGAATAACTGGAATGCAGTGCATTTAAATGCATGTTCCTTTTTAAATCCTCCCTTATACAAGGGTGAAGCAGTGCAGGAAACCAGCCCCAAAGCACTGGTTGTGGACCCTTGAATTTTTTGAAATGATGTGCTTAGTCCTCGAGCTGAAAAGCGTGATGACATCATTGATCTTTATGAAATTAGATGGTAGTCCCGGGTCAGTTTAGTTTGAAAAGGTCCATATTGCAGAATCTCTGACAGTTATCCTCCGTGACTGGCAATCCCCTCGCAGAATCCAAGGACTGAAGTAAATATAGAAGCGGAAGCAAAGTGACAGAAGATCTTGTATATAGAAACCTGTGTTAACTTAAAAGGTAATAATCATTTTTTTTTATTCTCCTCTCCTCTCCCGTTTTCTCATTTCCACCATGGCCAGTGATATGGCATCTGAATCAGACAACAACATCAGACAAATAAACCAAGAGGCAGCTCATAGACGCTTTCGATCTCGGAGACACATTAGTGAAGATTTGGAGCCAGAGCCCATGGACAGTGGAGATATACCTGAAGTATGTATCAGCCTTGGAATAATTTCCTCAGCATTTAAACTGTTTTATGGTTTAAAATAATCTGCCCAAACAGATGTATGTTATTTGTCAGTTAGTTAATTTCTGCTGTGTCGAGCCGTATTTTTTCAGACCAGTGTTTTTACAAAGCGTTTTGAGATAACTGCCTGAGTTAAATTCTAGTGGTAATCGGGTAAAATAAAACCTAACTAAACCCATTCAGAGCCATACAAATTTTGAATATCTGACATGCATACACACATCAAATAATGAAAGCACAGGAGAGGTCTAGGATAATTAGACTTCTGGTTTTGTAGACTGGTTGTTATGGGCAGGTTAAGGAGCACATTTTTCCTCTATGCTCAGCTTTGAAAAATTGGTTGGGTGGTTTAAGAAAGAAGTTTAAGTAATCACATTAACAGATTGAACTTTGAATGTGGAAAAGATGGGGTTTTTTCTTGTTCCCCCTCTCCCCTTTAAGTCTAAGGCAGGGTTTCACTATTTGAATGTTTGGTTTACATAGATTTGAACTGAGTAAATAAAATTTTCTTAGAAATATATAAGCAGTTTTTCAGACTGAAGCTGGCTGTTTCATTCAGTTTTCTTGAGTATTTAATAAGATTCAGAAAGAACAGTTTATGTTCTAGTAGGTATTTTTTATTTCTGCATGACAATCATGATAGAAAATAAGACACTGCTGAGACCATGCTGCACTCATCTTTCACTTATTATTGATACCTTGTATGTATTAAGAACAATTTCCATAATGCATTTCATTTTAAAATGCTGTTCTTTAAGGCTAGGGACAGAAGTTACACACAGACCAATTTAAGTGATCAGAAACTGGTTTAAACCTGTAACAGAATAGAAGTTCAGTGCACATAAATCAGTTTCAAAATGGCCAAAATTTATTTAAGGTAAACCTGGTTGACTATAGTATCAGACTTAACTGACTTGGGACAAACCAGTTTATGCAACTTCTATCCCAGACCCCGTCTTAGTTTAAGTTAAATCAGTACTCCAGCATGCCTGGCAGGGCTGAGCTGTCTGTCTGTTCCAGCCAGGCAGGGTTGGCCCCACTCCTCTCCTCCCTAGCTGGAGCACAATCTGGGTCTGCTCTGGGCTGGGTCAGAAAAAGATGGGGATGGGAAACCCTACTCCGGAGTGTTGCCAGGCACCCCCAGATCCCCACCCCATCTCACTCACCGGCTGGCAGCAGGGCCACACCCTGGTAGCCTGAGAGGAAGCAGGGGATTAATCCTCCCATTGCAGGGGGGCCAGCACAGGCCGTGACAGGCTGCACTTGTGCACCCAGGGCTATGGCAGCCAGATGCCAGTAGCCTGAGGGAACATGGAGAAGTTACTGTCTGCATTGCAGGTAGTGGCAGTGGGGGGTACCGACATGGCACCCTGGAGGAGCTGCCAGCCAGCTGCAGGGAGGGGGGACGTGACCTGGTGGCAAGGGGGGAACTGGAACTAGTTACAGCCCAATTCACTGCTGCCTTCTGCTGTGGCAGCGCAGCTGGGGGTGGCATGGCCCTAGGGGGTAGGGGTCAGCACCTGCTGCCCCTGCCTCCAGCCCTGTGCAGGGGCTGTGGCTTACAGGCAGGCTGCAGCTGCAGCGCAGCTCCCTGCCCCCCTATCTCATGCAGCAGAGGTGGCGGCAGAGCGAACGATCACGGCAGGTGCACGTGAGCAGATTGCCATGAGCCAGTTGCTGCCTAGGCCCCTGGGTCACATGGCCAGGCCAGACCAGACTGGGTTGTGGCAGTCCATTGCCTTTTCCCACTATGGCCCATGCCCCAGGCCTTCAGTAGCCCACCCTGAGCAGCAGTGGGTAACAAATGCTTCACCTGCGCCCACCGTGATAGTTCGCTCCGCTGCTGCCTTTCCTGGGAAAGCGAGGGGGCAGGGAGCCACGCGGCAGATGCAGCTTGTCTGCAGACTTTGGCTTCTCATGCAGGGCTGAAGGCAGGGGGTAGCAGGTGCTGCCTCCCACCCCCTGGGGCTGCCCAGCTCTGGGCACACTGCCTCAGCAAGAGGCAAAAGTGAGTCCGACTGTAACTAGTCCCAGTCCCCA